GATAAGATTGATCTTCTTTATCTGATGCATAGTTTACAAAAATATTTTCCCATTCTGAGGGCTGTCTATTCACACTAATTACTGTGTCTTTTGCCATGCAGAAACTTCTTAGTCTAATGTAATCCCACTTATCTATTTGGGGGATTATCCACTGTGCTTTGGGGGTCTAATTTAAGAAGTCTTTTTCCCTAACGCAATTGACAGGGCCATGCAGACAACACAAGCTGGTAAAGAGGCTACCTCCTGTTAAGGCAAGGCCTGGACTGGGAAGAAACTGCAAGGCAAGGCCGACGGTTTACGAGCCCTCCTTTGTGTCGCTGTATTGGCCTGTACTTAATTTCTCTGCCGTGAGCTTTACTGTTATTACGGTACCCTGCAAGAGTAAAAAATCACCCCCAACCTTATTGCAACTTTACAATAAAGCCATTTAGTGATCTTGTAGGAATGTGGTTTCCTAAGACAGCACTCAAGGGCCAGGAAGTTTGAGACTCCCCCACCTGTCTGTTTTAAGCCAAAATTAGCATATGTTAGGTTAAGTTAGTATAAGCCAAATTAGCGTTAGTAGCATATGTAGATTAAGTTAGTTTAAGGCAAGTTTTATGTAAATACCCCTTGTTAAAGCTGCAGGCCAAAGTTAACTCATGTTAGGCCAAGTTAGCATATTCACCATATGACAGGGACTCAGAGATAAAACAAAAGAACTCACTAATTGACAGACTCAGCAAATAAAATACAGGAACCCGTGGGTTTATAAAGAAAAAGCCTGGCTGGCGACAACAGGATGAACAAACCTAAAGGTTCCGGGGAAAGATTAACTATCTTAGCTACAAGTTCTTATCTGGTTTGGGCAAGCAACAGATAGTCCCTAACTACAAAGAATTTCTCATCTATGTGCTGTTAACTATGAAAAACTGCTAATAAAACATCCTATGTTGTCTCCTGAGCTACAATATATTGATAGTCCATATATTAACTGTGTCTTTACTTAACAAGACAAGATTTCTATCTAGGCCTTTGTAACCAGCAAGGCTGCCACCCTGGCCCAGGACTGAAGTTATCAAGCTGACCTGGGACTGAAGTTATCAAGCTTCCTACAAGCCCCCTCTTCAAAAGATCCTGTCCAGTAATCAAGACTGAAGAAGAAAATGCACCAGACAAATAGACTCCTTCGTTCTGAGAACTGTCTTTGGCTTCACCTGTTCAAACAAGACAGACATCATGTTTTATGGTCATTGTTCCTGTGCCTTGAATCCCCCGTTTCATAGAGTAAATCTTTTATTTCCCCCCTCACCCCTCCTACTCCTGTAAGACATCCCTCAATAAATGTGTGTGTTTGGTAGCCGCTAATGCTGCAGTCTGGAGCTGACTGTGGCTGTAGCTGGCTGAGAACATGCTAAGAGGCATTGAGGTCTTAGTTTATAATCACCTGTGTCACCTTCCTGTGTACGAGTCTCACCCAACCCCGCTGAGGCTAGACCCCGGCACCCAATGTCTCCCAGAGTTTCCCCAGTGTTTTCCAGGAGCAGTTTTATAGTTTGAGGTCTTAGATTTAGATCTTTTTGATCCACCTTGATTTGATTTTTGTCAGAGGTGAGAGGTAGGGGTTCAGATTCATCTTTCTGCAAGTGGAAATCCAGTTTTTCCAGCACCATTTGCTGAAGAGGTTTTCCTTTTCCCACTGGGTTGACTGGTACCCCTTGTTAAAAATCAGTTGACTGTATGTTTGGGAATTTATTTCTGGGGACTCTATTCTGTTCTATTGGTCCACATGTCTGTTTCTGTGCCAGTATCATGCTGTTTTGATTACCACAGCTTTGTAGTATATTTCTGGGTCAGGGAGTGAGATGTGCCCACTCCACTCTTCTTGTGCAGAATCGCTTTGGCAATACAGGGTCTTTTATGATTCCAGACAAACTTTATGATTGTCTTTCCTAAGCATACAAAGAAGAAGAAAAACATCTTCACAAAGAAGCAAAATCAGCTAACAGAAACAGATCCAGAAATGAGCCAGATGATAAAGTTAATTGACAAAGCCATTAAAAAAAGTAATATAATTATATTCCAAATAATCAAGAGAGAAAAGCATGAGCACATTAAAGAGAGACATGGAAGATATAGTAAAAAAAAAAGGCCCCAACTGAAGTTCTAGAGATAAAAGAGATAGTTTTGAGAAGGAAGAAATACAGAATAGAATGAAGAGATTAAACATTACAGAATAAGAGATCAGTGAACTTAAAGATGCAACAGGAAAATAAAAAACAAGAAATGGGCTTGAGCGGCTGCTTGGCAGGTGGTGGTGGTGGCCATAGCAGTTCCTCCTGGCCCTGTTAATGTTGGAGCCAGGCCCAGGGAAGATGGCGCCCTAGGGACCAGCCTTGCTGGGGTAGGGATGGGAGGGGATGGGGGACTGGCCATGTTGGAGGTGACCCAGAGTCTACTGTAGCACTGGGGCACCAATTTTAGGAGAGGCACTGACTTCGACTCTTGGGGCCAGCTGGTGGAGGTGATAGACGAGTATCAGATATTAGCAAGATCTCTACAAAATGAGGCCCAAGCTCAACATAATAATTCTGAATTCACAGAAGAACAAAAGAAAACCAAAGGCAAAATTGCAACATGCTTAGAGTTACGAAGTACAGCTTTATAGTCCACACAGTCCCAAGAAGAATTTAAACTGGAGGACCTGAAGAAGCTAGAACCAATCCTAAAGAATATTCTTACATATAGTAAAGAATTCCCATTTGATGTTCAGCCTGTTCCATTAAGAAGAATTTTAGCACCTGGTGAAGAAGAGAATTTGGAACTTGAAGAAGATGAAGAAGAGGGTGGTGCTGGAGCAGTTCTCCCGAGTCTTTTCCTGCTACAGTCCTCCCCGGTACTTTATTACCAAGGTTGCCATCAGAACCAGGTGTGACGTTATTCACCATCAGAATTGAGAAAACTGGTTTGAAAGATGCTGGGCAGTGCATTGATCACTATATTACAGTTAGTGTCAAGGATCTGAGGCATAGACCTAACACCTGTACAAGATACTCTCTTTTTTTTTGGTGGTGGGGGGGGAGATTTTCACTATAGGGCATGTGCGCTCGCCAGACAGACAGAGAGAGACATAGAGATAGAAAGCGAGAAATCACCCCGCAGGGGGGATGGTCACGCCGCAATCCCTTCTCCTCCATTCTCTTCTCGGGATCTTGGGTACACATGCACACGCGCCCGGCATGAGTTTTAAGCCACCGGGACGGGGACACGACCCGCAGTTAACTATGTGGGAGTCCAGGGACATAGCCATTATGCTAACTGCTGGTTCCCAGCCTGTACAAGATACTCTTGTGGCTTCAAGAAAAGAAGATACACATGTTCATTTTAATGTGGATGTTGAGCATCAGAAGAATGTAGACAAATTAACCAAAGGTTTGCAATCCTATGTAATCAGATTCTTACAGAGTTCTCACCTTATTCAGGCTCTTGTACACAGTGGACCTAGCCCACCTGGCATCTGGTAGAAGTAAATGTCACATCACGTTTCTTCATTCAAATAAAATATGCATTTTTAAAAATGGGATTATAAATTGTATTGGGTCATTGGGAGTCATGACGTATTTTTCTATGTTTTTCTGTGCAAAAAGGTGTCAAGACTTCTGAGGATCCCCAATATCTAGTTGTATAATAACACTGCTATGCAATAAAATGTTCTTTGATAGTAAAAAACAAAAACAAAAAACCCAAAACCAAAACCAAACAAAACAGAAATCCAGTGATGCCAGTGACAGTGTCACAGTGGTAACACACTGCTTCATGATGCTGAAGCCACAGGGGAAGGTCTCAGGTTCATGTCCTGAGGGCTCCCTGAATATGCTGAGCACATGTGCCTATGATCCTGGCCAGTGAAGGCACAGGTGGCTTGTGGGATGAAAACTCTGTGGTCAGGACCAGCAGATGGTGTAATGGCTATGTTGCTGGATTCCCATGTAGTTGACCACGGTTCAAGTACCAGACCCGGTGGCTTATACTCATGCCGGGTGAATGTGCGTGTGTGCCCCAGATCCCGAGAGGAGAATGGAGGAGAAGGGATTATGGCGTGGTCATTCCCCTGGTGGGTGATTTCTCACTTTCTATCTCTCTGTCTCTCTGGCACATGCACCCTATAGCAAAAAACTCTCTGAAAAAAAAGAAAAGAAAACCCTGTGGTGATGCTTGCCTCTCTCTTTGTATCATAAAAAAAATTTTAAAAAGTGAGACCAGCAATTAGTGTAATGGCTATGTTGATAAACTCCCATGTAGCTGACTGCGGTTCGAGTTCCAGACCCCGGTGGCTTAAACTCATGCTGGGTGCGTGCGCGTGCGTGCCCAAGATCCCGAGAGGAGAATGGAGGAGCAGGGATTATGGCGTGGCCATTCCCCCTGGGGGGTGATTTTTGTTTTTTTGTCTCTTTGTCTCTCTCTGTCTTTCTGGTGGGCACACGCACCCTATAGCAAAATCCTCTCCCTAAAAAACAAACATTTTTTTTGAAAAAGGAAAAATGTAACAAAATGAATCCAAGACCAAAAAAATAAGACTTAAAACAATATAATACAAAGCCTCAGTGAGTTATGGGACAAACCTGAGTAGCCTCGTAATATACTCGGCGTGAGTTTTAAGCCACCAGGTCCTGGTCTCAAACCGTGGTTGACTATGTGAAAGTTCAGTGACATAATCATTTTGTCATCATCTGCTGATCCTGTCAGGGGGACTTTTTCACTTTCTCTTTCTCTCTCTCTCTCCTGTAAGCGCACACACGCTCTAATAAAGTTAAAAATAAACAAAGAAGACAATAGAAAAATATATACTATGCTAATACCAATCAAAGCTAAGTGCATCTTATTTTTTTCCATCTATACCTTGTTTGGATTTCAACACCATCAAACTTTGAGTTGGTTGCACTCACTGAATTTTTGAACTATTAATAGAATTTAAGGAACTGATCTTTTACTTAGATAATCCTCTTAAAGACTTTTTAATATACTGAAACAACAGAGAAAACCTATCATTATAACAGGACGTATAAATAGCATAAATTCAAGTCACAAACTCAGACATTATTGTAACTGGTCTTAAATTTCTGAGTTCATGTAAATAATGCTGTCCTTCGTTAATCTATTTAATCAATAAATACTATCTAGCTTTTATCTACCAGGTACTGTGTAGTAACATGGTTATAACACTCCTTAAATTCAGATACTAGTTTTAACTTTATGTGTCTTGGAGAAAGTTACACAACCTCATTCCTCAGTTAACTCTTTTGTAAAATAGTGGCTATCAATACTTCCTATACCTAGGGTTGAGCTGTGATGCGGATGAAGAATATGGATTTAAGTACTTAGAATGAACAGTGCCTGGTACCTGGTATAGTGTTTGATTTCATTTCTTATGAGCTATTTGGGAAAATAATGACTCTGTTGTTCAGCAGAGTTTATATAATTAAGTCCTATGATACAAAAATAAAAGTATGCCATCTTAGTAATGTGACAGTTCCCAGGAGGGGGGAGATATTTCTGTGGCTGGTCTCTGTGAGCTAATATGAGCAAAAATAGAGATAATAGGCACTATGTGTATAGTGTTTATTCTGTGCCAGGCACAGGTCTCAGGGCTTTTGAACTAGTCTAAGTCACTAATTACAGCGATGACATCAGTACAGATGCCCGCAACTCATCTACATGTTGGCAGAGTGAGTCCTGCAGGCAGAGATGCAAGTAGAGGCTGGCTGGTTCCCAGACCTACTGCCCTACCTTGAGCATTTTCTCATCAAAAATTGGAGTCATGGCATAAGGCATGATGTAATTCTGAAGAGATTTAGAGGACAGCATGACTTTGCCTTCTACTAGTTGTTTTGCCAGCTTCTTCAAGGCTCTTGCTCTCCTGTGGATCTGAGTTAGATAAAATATGAATTGGTTACTGCACAATCTCACCCACAGCCAGCTCCATTTCAGTATCATGTTCTTTTTCCATAAACAAATTGAAGGAGCAAAACACAGTCTCTGTATTACACAGGCAAACACCTGGGCCTTAATTTGCTTCCAGAGACATAATTCACAGCATTTGTTTAATAATGGATCTCAAAGCATTTAAGCTTCTTAGGAAAAAGCAGAGAAAGGAGACCTATTATTAACTGTGGCTTGTGATACCACCAAAGAAATCAGACCAAGATATCATCACCTTATATACAAGTTTGACCAATAATCATGCAGGCCAAGGAACGAGAAGCTCAACATTTTATAAAAAGTTGAAATATGTTTTTTTCAATGAGGCAGAATTGTTTGAAGTGCTTATTTTGTAGGCAGGGAAAACCAGAACTGTCTTCTACCTGAATGTGCTTCATGTTCTCAAAGAAGTCCATTTCTGGATCATGGTAATGAGTAAGCTGTACCAAATCTTTAAATTCCACCTGATTCGGAAAGGTTTGAATTAAACACGAAAGTACTGTAGTATAATCCTGTTGAATACTCTGCAATATCAAGTTGAGAAAAAAACAAAAACAAAAACCTGTTAGAATCTGCTTCCTAGGTCATCTGAGGAAAGATGAAACTTCCATAAAAAATTTTACAGGTAAAACAGTCTACTGTAAAAAAAGTCAAACTATATAAAAACCAAGAGTGACTGCTCTCCTTTCCATTCCCATGCTCCTGTTTGGTGACTATTTATACAATTCAATATTTTAATTGACTGTACTAAGCCTGGGGTGTCCCATAGTACAGCGGTTAAGCACTGTATACGGGCAGTTGGATCCCACACGGTCAACCAGAGTTCAAGTCCTGGTCCTGGCAGCTTAAAAAACATACCAGCTGTGTATATGCCCAGGATCCTGACAGGATGGAGATTTGGAGGAAAAAGAATTGTGGTATGAGCAAGCCCCATCAGGGGTGTTTTTGTGTGCATACCCTCTCTCTCTTGCTCTCTGGCATTTAAAAAAAAAAAGAAAGCACTAAGTCTGACTACTTTTCTACACAATAGCAGAAATGGGAAAACAAAACAAAACCTCTTGGATAGTAGTACTTAACAGACAGTTACAATACCTCTGTCTGGCTCTTCAATCCTTTCCTCAATTTTTCCAGGAGAGAACGATGAATGATTTCTTTATATTCTTTCTCTGTGACATTCAACGCAGCTAGCTTTTTAATGATAGTCATCAAGCACATGCTGGCATTATCACTTAAAGACATATCTCCTAACTAGAATAAGAAAAAAAGCCTAATTATTCTGTGTAAAAAGTATAATATGGAATATTATTTCCCAATAAAAGCACGATTTTTATTTATCACTGTCTATGCAAAATTCCCTTCTAAGGAAATGTCCCACAAGTACTTTATATATAAGGAAGAACCAACTATAGGGTTGTGAAGAACATAATCAATGACTTTAAAATATCACACTTGGGGCTGGCAGGTGGCATGGTGGTTAAAGACCCTGGATTTCCACATGGCCAACCATGGTTCGAATCCTGGACCTGGTGGCTTGCTTTCTCACTTTCTCTCTCTCTTTCTGACTGAATAATTAAAAAATAATAATAACAAACATAATTAAATAAATTTTTAAAAATCACACTTAGTGACAAGTGTTCCTTAATTTTAGAAAGTACCACAAACCATTTTATTGATTAGTTTTACTTCCCAAAACAAGCAGAATAAAAGAGTCACTAAATCAGTTTTCCATATTTAGTATCACATCACTGAAACAGAGTCAGCTAGTACAATTTTGGCTAGTTGCTCTAGATTTCCTGGTCTGAGGAATATTAGGTAGTCAGTCTAGAGAAGGTATTCCCAACTCAGTCAACCAGGGAATGACTTAGAATTCTTTGTGCTGAAATTTGGCATGATATATGAAGAGTAAGTCCCAAACGGGTAGATTTTTTTTCCATCTATTACATAGTCCTCAATATTAGATAAATAACTACAAAAACACCAGAAAGATTACTGATGTCACTATATGGTTAGCTATAGTTAAAGGTTTTATTTTCCTCATATTTTGATTTTAATTCAGTTCAGTAATAAAGCCTTTAACATAGTTCAAATACTTTCAATTTCAACTTTATTTTCAATGAAAAAGAACCAATATTTTAGTCGTTATCTAACTTTAAACAATTGAGATATAATTGATATATAAAATTTGCCCATTTAAGGTAGAAGAATCAGGGTTTTTGGCATATTCAGAAGGTTGTGTTAACCTATTTAATTTCAGAAGATTTTTATCATCCCCCTTAAAAGAAACTGTCGATCTGTTAGAAGTTACTCCCAATTCCTCCCACCCTGTAGCTCTTGATGACCATTAATTTGCTTTTTGTCTCTATGGATTTTCCTATTCTACTGGGTTATTGGAAAAGTCAAGACATATTTTTTTCTACACAAAAATGTGTCATGACTTTTCCAACCCAATAATACATAACTTTCTAATTTTTCAAAGCACTTCCCGATAATGTTATTTTATTTGAAATATGATAAAGCATGAGAATAACAATAAGCTTCCCTCAAAAATAAAAAAAAAAATTAAAAAATTAGGTCATTGCATTAGGTAGCTGTATTATCGAAACAATAAAAAAAGATTCATACTTTTTTTGCTATAAAAACCTACCTCCAGATTATAGAAACAATTATGCATAACTGGAATGAGGTAGTTTATATCCACAGTTTGCATTTCCTTAATATAATTAGTGATCGTCTGAAACGTTGCGAAGCGAACGTCAAAGTTGATATCATCAAGGTGTCTTTGATCAAAGGCGTTAAGCTACAAGAAATGCCATGGAGATTGTATAAATACAGGCATATAAACAAAAATGATAATGTTTTGAAGTCAAAGAGAAATAAGATTTCCTTCTTACCTTGACAATATCAGTAATGTACTTTAATTCACTCTCAAAATCAGAAAGACTCTGAAAGGAAGAAAACAGCACACTTCTTAGTGAATACAATTTTAACTTTCCTGCACTCCTCACCTTGGCTCTCTGCCTCCACTCAAATTCATGTAAAATATCATCTTTTTTTTTGGGGGGGGAAGAGGTTTTCGCTATAGGGCGCGTGCGCTCGCCAGACAGACAGAGAGAGACAGAGAGACAGAAAGCGAGAAATCACCCCCCGGGGGGGGATGGTCACGCTGCAATCCCTTCTCTTCCATTCTCCTCTCGGGATCTTGGGCACGCACGCACACGTGCCCGGCATGAGTTTTAAGCCACCGGGTCCAGGATGCGAACCGTGGTCGACTACGTGGGAGTCCAGTGACATAGCCATTACGCTAACTGCTGGTTCCCTAAAATATCATCTTAATATAAAGAAAGATGTGATATGCTTTATGTGTTAAGGATATCTATTTAATAAAAGAATGATTTGGGAGTAAAAATGAATATTACCAACCTGGAAAACTGTACAAAGTAATTGTCTTGATAACTTGTTCTTAATAACTGAGAAGAGTTTTGCCAGAGGCTTGAGGAAGCTTGTAGGGTCCTGACAATGTTTTAACAAGTTCTGTACTGTCACCAGAATATCGATCTCTGTATCCTTAAGGAAAAAAATGTTAACAGAAACCATATTTCAGTAATGTATAATATATAAACGGGTTAACTTGTATTTTAATATATTAAAGCAAAGGAAATAATTTTGGATAAGTAGTAATTGGAAAAATACTTCATAATGTTTTAAGTTTTTAACTTAACATAGAACCTACAATAATGTCTTCCTTTAATTCTAATAGAAGATATATATGAGGTATTTTCTTTCATTTGGGCTTTTTTTTAGAGACAGTCTGTCATTATGTTGGCCCACCTGGCTTTGAACTTGTGACTCTCCTGCCTGAGAGATGAGATCACAGATATGTGCTACCTCATCCAGCTTATATGTGGTTTTGAAACATCATTTCATTTACTATCACGTCAAAAAGAAACCAACAAAACTGAGACTGCTAAAGAAAAATAGACTGGCTGTCTCTATCTCTATGTTCTTCTAAACTGAATTCCTACATGGTAAGAGAAATTCAGTACTGTTACTAAGGGCTTATAAGTGAGCTTGATCTACAGGAGGACTCCTAATTATGACTAAAATAGGGTCTGAAAATCCTGCATGACTATTGGCTACATGTGAATATTAAGAGCCTGTCATTCATTCAGTTTTTCCACTCTCTTGGTGGACCTCTTGAGTTCCAGATATCTGATTGATCAAAGTCAGAGAGAGAGAGAAGAAAATCAATGTATCAGCATTGCTGTATTAGCAACTGCACACAGGAAGGAAAGGGGCCAACACTTTTACTGTTGTGATCACACCTCCACCTCCTTGACTATTTCCATTCTTATTTGCCTCAAATTTTCCCCTCTATTTCTAGTGCATGTGTGTGTTGCTTTGTTTTCATAGAATGTCTCTTAAGTTCTTTGGGACAAATGCATCACAGAATCTAAACAATAAATCTGTGGCTCACAAACAAACCTACTGCTACTGCCACTCCAGAGACAAAGCATACATCCTCTGAGTTTGTACCTGAGCAATGTTACCGCGGTGGAGGAAAGGTAGGAGGAGGGTAATAAGTAAAGAACTTTGTTCTTTGTCTTTCATAAACTTGCTGATCCTGAGAAGCGAAAAACAGATATGTAAAAAGGATATACAAGTCAAGAACATTCTATAAGAAGTTACGCTGTTGTAAAAAATCATCAGTAACTAAAGACACTGTTTGAACATTCCAGTACCAATGTAGCTTTAAGTATATGTGCACATATACAAGGCTGAACTCAGTTATTTAGCAGTATCCACTCTTATTCTTCTCCAACATCAGGCTCGCAGCTACGTTTTCATTTCTTTTGCAATGCCTGATTGGGCAGGTGGGTTATGAGTGAACTACAGCGCTACAATCTGGCAAATTATGTAATTCCTAATTTTGCAGGGAAATAACATTTTAAGTCAGTCAAGACTTATGGTTTTATGTATAGCATTTCAATGTAACCATCATGGTAGCCTTGCAATGTAGGAATAATAAGCCCTATTTTGCTTTGAAACCCAGAGAAGCTGGTATCACCCAGCTAGGAAGAAATAGGACAGGTTTTGAAACGCTGGTCTTTCTGGTGTTTAATCTCCTCTCATCATCTTTCCACTACTGCAGAGCTTATGATAAAATTCAATGAATGTATTTTGTGTGGTTTTCCATTCTGCATAACTTCGACATACAACAGTATAAATAAAACATTGCAAAGAAGTTTCTAGACGATTCTAATATATCATTTTGTGTTGGTATTGCTGGAAAGTAATAAAATAAATAAATTTTAATAGCTAAGCCCTGTACGGCATGGTGAATTTAAAAATTTTAGAGCATCATTTCTTGCACTTTGGTTTATGAACCTTGGCCTATACGGAGATTGCAATTACATGCTACTATGTCTACGGCCAAACGGGTTCATAAAGCTCTGTAAGAGCTTCTTGACTCTTCAAAGACAAACAGAACAATCTGTTCTTTTAATTATTTTTATCAATTATATTAAAAACAAAGTACGTGATCTCACAAAGCTCAAAGCTTTAATTAAACAAAATACACAAAGTCAATCTATTAGTCTACTTTTAGGATCTGAAAATATTTATAACTGGCATGTTTCCTTTAATATAATGAAGGCAGATTTCATAAAAAGGTTTCTACTCATTATTCCAGCACAAAAACAGAACTCTGTATTAACTTAAAAGTAGAAGGCATTTAAAACACTAAAAACCAGGGCTAGAAGGTGGCACCGTGGTAAAACGTTAACACATTGCAAGGCTAATTCCACAAGTGAAAGGTTCCTGGTTTACATTCAGAGACCACACTGAATACAAGATCCAGAGCTGGTTGAAGTCTGTGGGTAGACAGGGCCATTAAGGCCCTGATGGAAGAGCAGTCTCTTTCTGTCTCTATTTACTAAAGAAAAAAAAAACAAAACAAAACAACAAACATTAAAAGATATATATCGAAAACCTTTTTAGCTTCTTACTACCAGGTTCAAACAACTGAAAACACAAAGTAACACTCTTTCTGGCTCTATTTACTAAAGGAAAAAAAAAAAACCAAAACAACAAACATTAAAAGATATATATCAAAAACCTTTTTAGCTTCTTACTACCAGGTTCAAACATTAAAAGATATATATCGAAAACCTTTTTAGCTTCTTACTACCAGGTTCAAACAACTGAAAACACAAAGTAACATTAAAAATAATAATAAATAAACCAAGGATGGTAATGTTCTCATTCAATTATCAATGCATTGCTTACTTTGAGAGAATTCCAAGCTCCTTACTGACTTGTGCTCTATTCTTTTTCTTTTTCACCTTTTCTGCACTTATTGTAGTTTTGCTGAGATACTGGAGAATTGCAGGTACATGAGGCAAAATTAATCTTCCTCCTACTGTGATAGACTCTGAAATATATTGGTCAATATTTTGATTTCAAAAACCTCTTTTAAAGCACAATGAGCATTATCTTCATGGTGACAAATACAAAAGCATTTATGAACATATCATTAAATTCCAACTTTAAACATTAACTAGCTTCTTTCTTACTCAAAATGACTACATGACCAGCTAAATTAAAAGTTTTAAATAAGAAACCACTAAAGCTTTACCTAATACATTTTTGATAATAGTATTGGAATTACTGGGCTAATATGGTATAAACAATGGAAATCAGCTGAATTTCTTTTTTTGAAATTTTCTATAGGGTGAGTATGCTTACATGAGAGAAAGAGAAAGTGAGAAAGGATTTCCCCAGTAGGTGAATATGGCCGTGCTGCAAACCCTTCTCCTCCGTTCTCCTCTAGGGATTTGGGGCACACATGCACATATGCTTAGTGTATTTTGCAAGCCCGTGTCCAGGACTTGAACCACATAGTAACCACATTGGACCCAGCACCTTAACCACCACACCACGGGCTGGCCCTGAAAATTTCCTGGAGGACGTTTGAGACTTTCGGAAAAGGAAATAATGTACATTCCTACAACTGAGAAGAAAATTCAGTTTATACAAATTAGCATTAATTCCCTGAAGAAAGATACTTAGGAGCGTTAAGTTACACAGAGAATCAAATTCTACTGACTTTTTCTTTTCTGAGGAAACAATATTTACTCAGAAAGCTAAGAATCACCTGCTCTGTACAGCACACATACCATCTGTGTTTTCTGCTACGTCAGTATATATGCATCCAGTTACTGGCAAGCTCAAAACTGCTTCTGTGGGCTCAAAATCTGGAAGGTTAAGAAGGTCATCGACTATATCCATTACAATACTGGCTGTGGCATCAGAGAGATTCTTTGCTGAGAGAATCGCAAAAACATTGGTCAGGATATCACATTCTGGGTGTCCAGGTTTCTGTTTAGCCAGAAAAGGGAAATATCTGCAAGAAAGAACATTGCAATAATCATAATATTCCTCAATACATTTTTAATTTCTTCTTTTTTTTTTTAAGAGATTTTTTTGCTATAAGATGTGTGTGCTTGCCAGAGAAACTGAGAGAGACAGAGACAGTAAGTGAGAAATCACCCTATGCAATCCTTTCTCCATTCTCCTCTTGGGATTTTGGACATGCGCACAAGTGCCTGACGAGAGTTTCAAGCTTCTGTGTCCCAGGCTCGAACCGGGGTTGCCATTTGGGAATCCAGCGATGTAACCATTATGCCATCTGCTGGTCCCTCTCATTATTACTTTTGACACGAGAGGGCTACATGAGAGACAGCAGGAGAGAGAGAGCATGCACACCCCTTCACCCCTCTCCCACATTGTGGCCTAGTTATACTGCAATCCTTCCTCCTCTTCCAACTCTCCATCCTGTCAGGGTCCTGGGTGTGTATGTGCTCAGTGTATTTTTTAAACTGGTAAGGCTGTGACTCAAACCCTGGCTAGCCACCTGAGATCCAGCTTCCTTTGTACAGTGCTTAATCACTGCACTATGAGGCCAGTTCCAATTTCAGAGATAATTTAACCTTACTTATAAGCTCAAAAATATTGGCTTATAAAGTTCAGTTCTACCTGCACTTACATAAATACAAAGTTTAATGCTGGACATCTATTTAGATGGACAACTTGTTTTAATATCTGATTGATACTACATAAACTGTAACCACACTTCGAAGTTTATTTTTTATTGAAGAGTAATATTCCCATGAAATGGTTCTGAAAAATTCACTCATGAATTCTTTCATACACATCTATATATGCATATCTATTGTTATAGGGATTCTTTTATAATTGTTTTTTTGAGAGATTGTTGCTACAGGGCGTGTGCACTCACCAGAGAGACAGAAAGAGACAGAGACAGAAAGCAAGATATAACCCCTGGGGGGATGGCCACACCAGAATCTCTTCTTCTCCATTTGGCTGTCTACTACTATATGGCTTCTATTTCCCCAATGGAAAAAAATGAAAGAGAAACTGCAGATGATCGTTAGATGTCATTTCATTCAATCTGTACCTCGAGTAATAACTAATTAACACGAAACAGTCTTCAATATAAAGTCTTCCTGGATTAAAGTCCTTCATGGCTGATTTGCATAAAAAATATGCAACTATAGAACATTTCTCAAGTATGCCTATGAAGTGCTATTCATAAATGTTCAGAGACAAATCAATCTATGAAACTGCTTTGTCATAATAGGAAATAAATAAAAAGTCTTGCCTACTAGTAAAATAAACAGGCTTTCTGGAAGAAGACAACGTCAAAGTTTATGGTTTGTTTTAGAAGACACTTTAATAGAATAGGAAAATATTAATAGTACATTTTTAAAAAAATCAAAACTCATACAGTATGATCCCAGTGCTGGAAAATCAAGGACAGGATTTTTTTGAGAGGTTTTTTTTTTTTTTGCTATAGGGCACGTGCGCTTGCCAGAAAGACAGAGAGAGACAGAGAGATACTGGGCCAGTCATTGGCATGGTGTTAAGGTAGCTGGATCCCACATGGCCAACTGCACATTTCAAGTTCCACACCTAGTGGCTTGAAAAAACATGCAGGTATGTATTTGTATGTGCCCAAAATACCAAGAGGAGAATGAAGGAGCAGCGACTACAGTGTGACCATCTTCTCAGGGGTACTTCCTTACTTTCTCTCTTTCTCCTCTGTCTCTTTCTGGAGAGCACACATGCATGCCCTTTAGCAAACTAAAAGAATAAATTAAAAAAACAGAATATCAAATGAGAAATAGTGATTGTTTAAAAAATAGTTGGAACAATAATAATAATGATGATGATCGGGAAAAACAATGAAAAGGCATTGGATGATGAAATGGGGATTTTAATGTCTCTGTATTGACTGATATATACATGGTACTCCTTCTGGAAAAAGAAACGTAATACACTGTAAAGTTATATGTGTAATATAAACAAGATTATGATGATAATAAATTAAAAAAAATAGAATACCAAATTAAGAAAACATGTAGAAAATGGTAACATTTGTATAATGATATAACTCTCTGGTATGTTTCAGTTTCTGCTTCTCCCTTTGACAGGCTAAATTAAACTGCTGACATAATTAGTACACATTGGTACACTATCCCTATCAGGGCAGCCTGGGGTGTGGTGGTTAAAGCAGCTGGATCCCACATGGCCAATTGCACAGTTCAAGTTTTGGACTCTGCAAACACGTTGGGCACAAATGTGTGCATGGCCAAAATCCCAGAGAAATGGAAGAGAGGATATGGTATGACCATCCCCCATGGAGGGCGATTTCTCATTTTCCCTCACTCACTCTCTGTGGCAAAAACAAACATTCACTAGCAAAATTTAAAAAGAAAAGAAAAGAAAAAAAAACAATTAATTTTAATACTTCTAATCTTTACATTTACTCAAACTAAAAATCACAAGAGTATTTAAGTCGTAATGTAATATATACTGTACCATTTTGATTTACATTAAAATGTACGCTATTACTTTCCCTATATTATTCTAAATAGTTGAAACACTCCAAGAGATGTATCATGAAGTCTCCTTCCTCCACTCTGGTCCATCCAAAACTCCACATGCTTATGATAAGATTACTAGCAGTTTTTCATGTATCCTTCTAAATATTTTGTATTTAGCTACACACACCTAAAAGTATTCTACGTGAATCACACTAGTATTCTGAGATCTTTCCTTCATATATATATATATATATATATATAGGCATATATACTGGTATTTATGGGTGTACATAGGCATAGGACACAAGCACTTGCCAGAGAGAGAGGCAAACTGAGAAACCACCCCTTAGGGAGGTGGCCATGTTGCAATCCCTTCTCCTCTATTTTCCTCTAGGTATTTTGGAGACACAGACACACACACACACACACACACACGTCTGGTATGTTTTTCAGACTGCCAGGTCCAAGACTTGAACCACGGAGTTGGACATGTGGGATCCAAAGCTTTAACCATCACCCACCACCTGCTGGATCAAGATCTTTCCATTTTTTTACTTAGCTGCCTTTTCTCTAACTGGATCTAAAGTAGCTCACTGAATGGAAAGACCATACGTTATATTAGTCATTCTCTAGGTTAGTTTTGAAGAAATTATTATACAACATTGCTGGTTTTTATTTCTTTCCCCAGAGATAGGATCTCACTATGTTATGATCTTCCTGCTTTAACTTCCCTAAGTCACTGGGGTTACAGGTGCATATCACTGTGCCTGGTTTTTAGGTGCGACTGGGAATCAAACCCATGTAGTCGTGGGCGGTAGAACACAGTATCTGAGCAGCCTATGCCACCACTGTTAGACCTAAAATGTTGCCCTTTCCAAAGGATTTTTTTAAAAAAGCTTATACCTTGCATTTCTACTCCAGACACTAATTAGTTTCAGCAGAGGAGTAGGCGAATACTGACTCTCAGATCCAAGCCTGCTGATCTAGGAGACAAAATAAAAACAGAACACCAAATAAAAGCATGTACAGAATCATAGAAATAAAAACCAAAAAGAACAAGCATGAAAACCACACCAGGGGATGAAAAGACCAAGGAACAAGAGATTAACATTTAAAGGGCAGACTGAGGAAAAACACGAAGGGATTAAAATAATATCTCTACAAGAAAAATGGCAAACTCCGTACATAGAAGTGCTAGTCTGTTGAAAGGAACCAAATATTCTAGGTTTTAAATAGGAATGACTGATGGTTCAAGCAGTTAAAACTGTTTCCTAAAGTCAAGTCTCTCCTAGAGTCTTCTTAGCTATACCTACACCAGTTATCACCACCAAGTGGTTATAACCAGAGAAATCAAACAAGGAAATAGATGACAAAAACACCCATGTACGTGCCCTCGCTCTTGTCAAAAGCTAGAGGTAATGTTCCGGGAGGTGCTAGGAAGGTTGTGCTTACGGGGGACTATCACATTCCAACCAGCTGGAAGTCCAAGTGCCCTGGTACTGCAGAAATAAACTCCTGGGCCTCAGGTGACAGTGGGGCAAGGAAAAGTGCTCTAAAAACATTCAAAAATAAAGGCTCAACATAAAAGACTAGGACATGGGTTCACATCTGAACTATGGTGAACTGTGGTGAACAGACTATGCTGGCAAACGAACAAAAGAATAAACTGAAGGTGTCTGGGCAGAATGTAGAAATCGAGGTTTACCTGGGGCCAAACTGCACCATGAAACACAGCATCGATTTCTTCTGCTCTGAACTGATAGGATTCCCAGTCCAGAAAGATATCAGTTATCATTTTGATTCCAAGACGTCTTAATTTTTTAAGTGGGTTAATAAACCTTAGTTGTATCTGTAAAACAAAGATCTTCTATTTAAAAAAAAACCACATCATATATATATATATAAATACATATTTATATATATATATAAATACATCATATATATATATAGTTTTTCATTACTGACTCCTCAGAGAACACTCTTACTTACATGGCTAAGAATCTGAGCAGAAATTCTGTTATCAAACCTGTTGACTTTGAGTTACAAGGAATATCAACTAAGCAAGCCATATCTTTTATTGAACAAGAAAGAAAAGCAGAGAGTTAGAAAAAATCAAATGGTGCAGCTGGACAGTGGCACACAAGTAAAACTCAGTGTTCTAGGAGGCTGATGCACCTGGGAGAGTTCTGAATTCCCACTCCAGAGAACTTACCGAGCACATGGAGAACCCACATATCCACCTTCTGGGGCTGGCTGAGACAGGGATTGGGCTGCAGCATCAAATCCCTGTAGGGTTTTTTTCTTTCTGTTTCTCTCACAGGAAAAACAGATGAATTTGACTGTCCATCAAAATCCTAACAGTTGTCCTTAATTAAAAACATGGGGCCAGCAGCTGTCGTGGTGGCTAAGGCACCGGATCCCACATGGCTGACTCCACGCTTCAAGTCATGGACCCAGCAGCCTGAAAAACACGCCGGGCATTGTGCATGTGTGCCCAAAATCCCGAGAGGAGAATGGAGGAGAAGCAACTGTAGCATGGTCATGCCTACTGAGGGGGTGATTTCTCACTTTCCTTCTTTCTCTGTCTCTCTCTCTCTGGTGAGTACATGCACCCTATAGCAAAATAAAAAATTTATTATCTTTCCATATGGTGAAATACTTTGTGCAGTAAGATTTGAGGTGAAAGAATCAAACTATGGAAAATATATTTTATTTGTATGTGAGCATGCACACATGTGCACACACACACACACACACCACTGTATCAAAGAAAATACAATTAGGAAAAAAATAAGATGTGTCTGTTTAGAGGAACCAAGACTGGAGTGGAGTTGAATTAATAGTGAACCTTCCCTTTCCTTTCCTTTTTTAAAAGAGATTTTTGCTATAGGACACCTGTGCTCTCCAGGGGGACAGAAAGAGAGAGAGACAGAACATGAGAAATCACCCCTCCACAGGGGTGATGGCCACGCCACAATCTCTTCTCTTTCATTCTTCTCTTGGGACTTTGGGCACACACGCACATGTGCCCAGCCTGAGTTTCAAGCCTCCGGGTCTGGGACTCGAACCGCAGTCAGCCATGAGGGAGTTCAGAGACATAACCATTACGCTATCTGTTGGTCCCTGAATGTTGTCTTATAACAGACATTGTTACTTCCACTGGCCTCGCCTTCCCTATAAGTTATAAAAGTCACAGATATGCATCCTATTTGTTCAGCTCAGAGTAGAACAAGGTACTGAGTTCCCAAGCAATAGTCCAACGGCCAGACACAGCCCCGATGTCAACTGAAAGTCTTATTGAAGGCCAAATTATTAAATGTATGTGAGAGACTGAAAATGCCAAAGATATCCACTAGAGAAGGAACTTCTATACATTTGAAGAGAGTGAAGATTCATGGAAAAGAGACATTTCCAGGACACATTAAAGATCAAAAGGTTTAGGCCAGGCAAAGGAGAGACAAAGGCCTCAGATTTCTTCTAAGTACAGAATGCTGTAAAAATCAGGGACTAGCAGATGGTGTAATGGTTATGTTGCTGGTCTCCAACATAGTTGACTCCGGTTTAAGTCCCGGATCTGGAGGCTTAAAACTCATGCCAGGCACATGTGTGCGAATGCCCCAAATCCCTAGAGAAGCCTGGAGAAGTGACTGCGGCATGGCCATCCAACCAGGGGGTGATTTCTCACTTTCTGTCTGTCTCTCTTTGTTTCTCCAGTGAGTGCCCGT